AAATAAAGAAAAAATCCGAATAAATAATAAATAAATATATAAATATCTTCAGACAATCTCCGCTACTATGATCTCAAAGTAAAATAAAATAAAATTTTATATATTTTGTATTCGTACAATCGATTCAGTTACTGCGATTTCAGTTTCCGTTTCATTTCGGATAATTCATAATGAAAGATGAACTTACAGATGCAGTGATTGCGCCTGCAGCTGTGCGGAATATACACATCAAAAGTTATTTATAGAATTTCTCTGAATAGTTCCTGAAATAATATAATCGAATAGTTTAATAATAATCACTGCGTTAAGAAGGCTGATGAAATCTGGCCAGTATATTGTTATCGACATTCACTGATTTTGACAACACAATGTAGAAATTATAATTTAGGAAAACTGTGATGGAGGTACAATTTTACTCCAATCAAAGAAGTATTTCAGATGCGCTGGGAAATTATTTCCTTGCCGTTTTGTTTCCCTATAAGAGCTTCATTGCCTGTTATTCTATTTATTCCCAGGAAGTGGAAAAAAATTTAACTGCCACTTTGCCTGCGATGATTTAAAAACATTAGTTCGTTATACATATCGACAACGAAATAAGCAATACGTGATACATGTGTAATGTCATGTGACCATAATGGACCGATCAGTCAAATACGAATTACTAAAATGTGATGTGATGCAAAAAGGACTATTTTGTTTGCAATCGACGTCGCGCTAGACCTCCTTGTAAACAGCGAGGGTGGCATCTCCGATATGCGCGTTCCCGCACTTCCAGTGCTAGGACTCGCATTTATCTCACCAATCTTCCCTAACTTGGAAACCTATAACATTGAAAAATTTTGAACATAAATTCATTTCTTTATATAAATAAATCATTGCTACTTTTCAATTCACTTAATGCTTAAATTTCTGTATTAAAACCTATTCCCTAAATAAGATATTTTTTTTTGCTTAATGATATTCTTGAAGTTAAAGGAAAAGCAAATGTACAACTACATTTTCTAATAATATATTTTAACAAACGGTACCATCATTAAACAGAAATAACTTTTATTAGCTTTTATTTTGTTCGCTAAAAAATCAGTTACAGTAAAAATAAACGACAATTTATTGATCTTTTATTTTTAGTGTAACTTTCTTACCAATTGTGAATTTACAAATAAAATATAGTAGTTTTATTGTAAAATTATTATTTTGCACTGTAATTTTACGTCTTGCTATTGTAATACACTTTGTTATCATACAATGTAACTTTTACAATTGTTTGTAAATAGTTATAGTCAATTATATAATTACATATAATAATACATTTTCCAAAGTAACCCCAATGTAGTTCATGTACAATCCGTCATAAAATATTGCTTCAAAGAACAAAATAATTTTAATTCTTGCTATTTTAATACTACTTTGATAATACAAAAAAATATGTAATTATTACAATTATTTGCTGACGACGATGATGAGAATGGCGACGAGGACGAGGATAAGGATGAGAACGACGACGATGATGGTGATGATGATGATATGACCGTGACAACGACGACGACGACGACAATGATGATGAAAATGGTGATGAAAATGATGATGATAATGAGGAAGAGAAGGAAGAATATAAAATCGATTTGCAGTGTATGTACTGTCTCTCTTTAACTAAAGGGGCGTAATTTATTATCCTCTAAGTTGCAGTTAGAATCTAGTTGAAACATTTGCAATTTTCCATTTAAGCGCATGGTGTTTATCACTTTCTGCTGGGATTGGTAACAGTATTTCAAAGAGACAGTACATTGCAAATCGAATTTATATCTTTTGTTTCTCATTTTTAGACATTTGTCTATTTTCACTCAAATGACGCAATTTTTTAAACAATTATAACGCATTTCTTTGGATGGTAAATACCAATCATTTCTATGTTACTTTTCAATCCGCCATAATGGGTCCGCCATTTTCTATTCAATAAATTCCGAATTAAAACCTTATTTTTACAGCCATGTATTGAATCCGCTATCTTTTATTCAGGAATTTTCGGATTTGGACTTCAATTTCGTAATCAGCGACCCCAAAAACCCGAGACCAAAGTTCAGGCAAAAAATATTGAATAGAAAAATGTGTCGGTTTTTGGGCTGCTGATTTGGATTGACCATCAAGAAAACTCTCAAGATCCATATACTCATCTTTTGTTTTGTACAGTACCTTTTTGTGGGGCTATGTAATTAATATTATAATAAAAACTTTTCTTCCTTTAATTTTTCATATAAAAACCTGCAACTACTTTTTTTATTTTATTCCAGATACTTACATACAATATTTGTTCAACAACAGCGATACAAAAGGCTGATGAAAATAGTCAGATTTAGATAACGAAATTAGATTTTAGGGATTGATTTCTATGCCTACTTGGAAAGCTTTTGTAACGGAAAAATGTTTGACGAAATAAAAAATTTTCGACCATAAATCTCGAAAAGGCTTGTATGTACAGGGTGTCCCAAAGTTCGCGTCTTTGGCCCATGACAGACAAACGAAAAACGACAGTAAAAATTAGTTTAGATGGCGTGAATAGGAACTCGCTAAGGTCCATTTTGCACCTGAAAAAATTATTTTTCAAAATTCGGAAAATAAAAGAAATGATGTCATCAACTTTCTTTTTCCCCGAATATACCAATTTTGTATGATAACTAAAATTATCTATTTTTTTGAACATTTTCTGTGCAGAAATTTTTTCTCTATCTTTTCTCCCTAAAAAGTTACAGAAACAAACATTATACACAAATGTATTTTATTGTATTGGAAGTAGTTACGACATAATCAACATTACTGTGAAAAACAGTCGCTGCAACTCCTGTCACAAATTTGTTTACATATTAGTTGCTGTGTTCTTCTTTAAAAAAGGTCACTCAACGAAGAAAAATAGAACAATACACATAATGATGGTTAAATAGGATAACCAAATATGGAAAATTTTAATGGCAACTAATAAATATAACAATAACTAATAACAAAACATAAAACAAAATATAAAATTATGATTATTACTCTAAAAATTTTCGATATGCATGCCTCCTATTTCTAAGCATTTATCCAATCTTTTCCTAACTTCCCTTGTAGCTTTAAACAACGTTTCTCTTGAAGGATTCTCACAAACATGTCGAATATGTTGCTTAAATGCTCCAAACTTCTCGTGGGTGTCTTATATACTTGATTTTTTAATGTTTCCCATAAAAAATAGTCTAGGGGCGTTAAGTCTGGAGACTTTAAAGCCCATTCGACAGGCCCATTAACTCCAATCCGTTTAGTTCCGAAAGTATTTTATAAATAAGGGATAGAGAAAAAATTTCTGCACATAAAATTTTCATAAAAAATAGATACCTAATAATAATAGATAAAAAGTTGATGACGTCTTTTTTTATTTTTCGAATTTTTAAAAAAATGCAAAGTGCAAAACGGACCTTAGCGAGTCCCGATTCACGCCATGTATGTCAACAGATTTTTACTGTGGTTTTTCGTTTGTCTGTTATGGGCACGAGACTCGAACTTTAGGACACTCTGTACATACAGGGTGTTTCAGAAGGACGTTCCGTAAATCCAGAGGGTGATAGTACGACAAAAATTAAGAACTTTTTGTCTTATAAACTATATGTTTATCTCCTCTTGTTTTAGAGATACGAAGCAACAAAGTAAAATTTTTTAAATAGAATTTTTACGAAAATTTCCAAACGGTGCGAAATATTTTTTATGAAACTTGGTATTCCCAGGTTTTTGAGGATGACAAATGTCCTGCTCTAATTACTTTTTTGATATTTCATAGAGGGCGCTAGTTAGGCTACATTCCTAATACATTTTAAGTTTTAATTTTTTTAAGAGTATGTTTTTTACCATTCGGGCTCGGGGCTGTATAGGGGCACCAATTATTTTATTCATAAACAACTGATCGATACAAGTAGACATTTTTATTTTTAAAAAATTAAATTTTAATTGTACCTATTTAAATTTGTGGGCAAACATTTTACTTTCCAAAGTTCATAATGCTTTATGAAAAATGAAAGTTTTGGGAATAGTAAAAACACGACTATTTGCAAAAAATATTTCGCAAATATTTAGTATACCTACTTCTTAAATGGGACTGTTGCGACAAGGTTGATGATATACTCGTATAATCTGTAGCGTTTTTGGTTTTTGATAATTCTGCTCAATAAAAATTGAATATCCAGGAGAAAAAACAATCGTTCTGGTATAACTACCTTTTGAGAAGAGTAATAGTATTAGAAAAGAGAGTATATTATTTGAAAAATGAAAATTTTGACAATAACTGTTTACTATCAAAAATATTCTTTGATGAAATTCGCTAAAGCCTGGCCATCATCCTCATTAAGTTGGAAAAAAGTAAGTTGTAAATATGTCGGAGGTAAGTAAGTACATTATTAATTAATGAATTACTTTGTTAGTATAACTCAAATAAACAGATTTTGAACTCTGTTGAACTCTGACTCATCAACCCGTCATTAATTAATTGATAAATCATAGCAATTTTTCAGACAGCACCATTATGAACTTTTTTCATCTCTCACAGTGTCACGTGCTGCATCTTACACAATTCTTTTTTGTAATAACCTCCAAATACATTTTGCTTGTTGCAGATGGCACCCGCGAGCTTGTTCCTTATTCCTGATGACTCGGATGAAAGGTTGGAATTAATTCGAGATATACAATAAATATAAATAAATCGGAACCAGTTAATATTTTTCTTTTGAACTAGATCGGCCCACGGGCAGCACCGCACGGTTCTACAGAACCGGAGGAGCGTTCAACTGCGCCAGTCTCGTTGCCAGACAGATGGCTCAAAAGCACAAGTTCTGTTAGTTGTTCGTCGCCTATCGAGGGGGGAGTGCGCTGCGTTTGCGTAAAAAGCACGCAATTTTTTCAAGCGGTTCCGAATTCTCGCATCGAAATGCCCAAATTTTCACTCAATTAGCATGATGTTAATTGGGAAACGCCGGAAGAAAGGTACATCCGCCTGGTTTTCCACGTTTGAAAAAACGGCTGTTGTTCTGGACTGAGATATGATCTCTTCGAAAAACGCAAACTTTGAGTGATACATTATTTATTAGGCACATTTTCCCGGTGTGGTGATTTAATCTTGGATGGATTCAAGTGTGAAGGTTTTAGATATTATGTGTTTTGTGCTGTGATGTTTTAATTGATTGCTGAAATGGCTTCGCTAATGGATACATTTCTCCCGGTTCTGCTTACCCTCTTCGCTTTGTTTACTTTCATAAATGGTAAGTAATATATTCTTATCGATAGTGTCTTGATCTTGAAAATACTATTTTATTAAAGTTGGAACTGTTGTAAATTTCAACAAGTTCAATGTTCTGATAATCTCAAATCCCTGAACTTTTCTCCTCTGATATTAAGAATAACTTTGTACGACTCATTAAGTACGTATATAGCGTATTTTCCTTCTGTTCGAGGACACCATTAAAATTTATGTTTAGCAGATTGCAGATATATTTCATTAAAGTTAAACCTTTGCTACATTTAGTTTTACAATCGCAGTACATGAAAGTAAAACGAATAAGGTAGTGCGTCTTCTTAAAAATATACAACTGAAAGAATATCGCTAAAAGCCGCTTTATCTTCAACACCGATTCACACTATAAAAGGTAATACGTTTTACATGTTAGTATCCTTACGATATGGCTTTAATCGTTCTCGGATAAGGAAAACATAAAACGAGATTCTTCAGTTAAAGTTCTAAATGATTCTCAGTCGTTTCTTTAAATTAAGACTATCTAGTCCACTGGTCCAAAGATAAATTCATGTAAATAAAAAATCTCGTTAAATTCTTGTCTTTAGAGTCGATATTTACGTTAATTGAGATGTAACGCACCCTTGACTTCCATATTTCCAATAAACGGCTACGGAGCAAACGGCCGCTGTAGATTTTAATTACTGACTGAAAGGGTATAATTTTGCGCCGCAAACAAGCTTACAAAGGAGAGTGAAAGATGGAATTTTTAGGCGCTAATTTTTGCGTTAAACACAATTTACTCTTTAAATTTTTGTCAGTAATTGTAAAACTTGGGTAGATATGGCATAGGATTTATTTGGAAAGATAACCACTTAAATAATATCTAAATTAGCAAGATTCATTTGGCGAAGTTATATATAACTTATAATAGATTTGTATATTAGGATACGAGACAAAAAAGACTCTTTAATCCGAAACAAACACGCTATTTTTTCTCCAACCGAAATTCCCTATTTAATTATTCATTTGTGCTTTGAAATTATTCAAACCAAATTTGGATAATAAAGCAAAGTAAATAAGTAGGATATATATCGATGTAGTCATGGATATTTTGTTGAACATTAATCGCCATATTGCTAATTGAGTTCATTTGTGATTGTTTGTGGTTCAATTTGGCTGAAAACTCTGAAAAAATGGAATCTAATAAAGATTTAGGTGTACCTGAAGAGATACTGGAGTGTGCGAAAGAAGTTTCTTTGAATCTTCTCCCAAAGAAATTAGGATTGGTGCAAATAAAAAAAATAAGTTGTATTCAAGAGATGTATTGATGGTGTATTTCTCAAACTTAGCAAATAAAATGAAGCTTTGGTTACAATAATCAATGTTGCGGTCAACGTTGGATATAAAAAACGGAATTGATATAAGCAAATATTCAAAGTTACTTACGTACTTTTCTGAAGTGACAAGATGAGGGATATGTACCGAAAAAATTGCTAGTATTTACAAAGGAGCAAAATTACAGGTCAGAGTCGTAGAATCAGTTCTAAATTTACTAATTTTGGAATTATAACAAATACTTGCTGAAACTCTTTGAAACAGCTCCACACAACTAAGCAAAAAATGTATTTTACCTTGTTAAAAATGTGAATCTGAATACCAATAATAATAACAAGGAATCAAGAAAATTATTTAGACCATTCCTTAAATTATATACCTCTTAATAAAAAGGTTAAGAGTAGGAAAACAATTTTTAATGAGAGTAAGAACCTTCTGCATAAGTAGCTGCAACTAGAACAATTTGGGAAACCTCTTTGATTATTCAATTATGAAATAGTGATATGACTTAAGTCGACCAGTTTATTACTATTTCCTTAGTTTCCATTTTTGCCAACCAAAAGATGTTAAAAGCTCCTAATACACCTTTAAAAAATTCAGGGTATAAATATTATAAAACTGTTACCATTACTTTGTATATTTGATTAAAACTTCGTACAAATACATGGAATCTACTACTGTGTCTGTTTTCGTTTTTATGTTATGATTTTATTATTTCATTCAGTGATTTTTTTGTATTGTGTTCTACCAAATAGTCCATCATTATCAAAGTGGGTATCCTCATTATTCCTATTTTATTGTGGAAGACAAAAGTGGTTTTGTTTTAGGAAAATATCAAATCTTTATTATTTTTCATCCGCATCGATTGAAATTTCAGTGTATTTCTAGAAAACTATACGCCACAATAATTTGTTTATCTTATAAATTTTGAACGAAATTAGTTCATTTCTCCTATTTTTTCTCCAATAAATAGTAGTAATTAGTAACATTCAACATATTAAAGATAATTTTAAAATATTTTCTACAATAAATCTAACATTATTTTTATGGAGTTCAAAATGGCTGTCCTGCAGCTGAGTAATAAATTTAAAAACGGTTCTTGCGGCTACTATATAAAAGTTTCGCAGCGAAAAGTATCCATCATTTTAACTATTATATTGAGATAAAGGGTGTTATTTTTTGCAACATCAAGATTATCACAGTTCCTTACAAACATGTTTCTGTTCTAAATTAAATAATTAATTTTTCGACAGTGCATATACACAACACAAATTTATAAAATTATAGATTTCGACCAAAAATGATTTAATTATTTAGACGTACAAGGTCTTACGTTCAAACATTTGCAAAACTAATTGGTCCACTAAAGATATAAACAGAACATTAAAAATTTAACTACATAATTTAATTTCGCAATGAAGTTAACAATTCCTACTCAAGTTAATTTGAATTCTCAACGAACCAATCTGGGAATTTCGACGTTAGATTCAGATTCAGCGGGTCGAAGCACTACGGGATACAATAGTCTGGTTTAAAGCCAAACCTATTATTTTTGTGACGTTGCTCTATCTACTTGATTCGTCAGTTTCAACGCGTTGAAAGTTATTGTAAACAAAAATCTTGCAAGATCGTTTTGTCATATGTCATAAATTTACTGAGGGGCACTACAACTGCTGCAGTTTTTAAAAATGTGGCTAATAGGAATTAGTATTACTTAACACCCTATTATTGAAAGCTTGAGATGTTTTAGTAGTATGCATATGTTGAATTATAAACTTTTTATTGGTCTTCAAATGATCTATGAAAAACCCTACCCGTTGTAGAATTTATTTATGAAAGCACTGCATTGCATGTAGTGCATGCACTTTAAGTAGTGCTGCCAACATGAGCGTAGGTATACAGAATTTCTCGCTGCCAACCTAAATTCGAAGCTTCGACCGATTTCCGAATGTATACATACATAGACTTGTGAACTAGGATACGTGTGTGTATGTATATTATTAAAATACTTACTAAAATCAGTTCACAAGTGCACCAAAATACACAAAGGTGATGGTAATTTACCCGCTCCGAAAATTTTACCGAAAAAATTTGATTAACTTTTTTACCATAAGTTTTGTAATTTTAAAGTTATAAATTTACTCCAAAAACCATTTTGTAGGGAATTTAAAGTAATCTAAGTTCTGTGATTTGCAGTTTTTTTGAGCCCTTCGGTTTTTAGATTTGTAAACTAAAAGGGCTCAGGAAAGGCAGTCTTGGAGCTTAGTTTTGAGCTTATAACGGTATTAACTCAGTCAAATTTTGTCCTACAAAAATTAAAAAAAGCAAATTGTTCAGTAAGAAGAAACCTACAATTGCTTACTCTTATCATTTTTTATAACTTTCAGTTTTTGAAATATTTTGAAAAACGGCGATTTTTTAAAAAATTTAAAAGTTTTATTCAAAAGTTGGTAAATGAAATATTTTTATAAATTTAGGCTTCTAAAATCGTTCAAATTCCCAGAATTTACTGTTAATACATAAATAAAGTAAATTGCAGAAGGAATACGTTTAATTTTTTTTCCATCGTCATTAATTTTAATAGCGATTTTTTTTCTCAAAAATCAAGACAATCATTTTATTTTGATTCTAACTTCATTACTTTTCATGATAACGACTTTTACCACCACTCAAATTAAAGGTCTTTTCAAGAACTTTAAAAAGTGTTATATAAGTTTTCCTCGAAAAACCTTAGATTTCTCCGTTAAAGGACGTTGAACGTCTAGATTATAGCTATTTTCGAAATTGACTTCAACTTCTGGAAGTCATAACTCGGGTTCTATACCACCTACAAAAATAAAAAAAGCAATCTCTTTGCTATCTAATTACCTTCATTTTTGCTTATGATCATTTTTTTGATAAAACTTGTAGTCTTTGAGATGTTCGCAAAAAATGGCTCAAAAACATGCATTTTTTGGGCTAAAAACGAACATGTTTAGGCGCAAATAACTCAAAAAGTATTGACTGTACAAAAAATTCTTATAGAACATTTTTTACTTAGAATTCGTCCCTCTATCAAATCGTGAGGTTATTTTTAATAAAAAAAATCCCACCTTCCAGAAGGGGTGGCATCTACCCTAGGGTAAAAGCACACATCGGTACTATATAACTTTTGTTTCTTGGGCTATTCCCTAGCTACAGTTCAAATTTCACGTCAATCCATTCCATCCGAAAAAATTGGTAGCCAAAATGCTTCAGTGACTGGACTTTATAAGTTTTTGTGATTTTTCTTGAAGTTGCCAATGAGCGTTTCAAGCATAACAAGTATATGGATAGTCAAATCAAGCTACTTTCAGTAAAAATGATGCTATTACCTATTTTACTATAACAAACTCATTAATAACTGATTCCAGTTGCAGAAATCTTACAGTAACCGAAAATGTTTATCGGGATAAATAATAATCAAACTGTAGTCTTATTTTCTGAACAAATTGTTTATAATTCGCGTTATCATCTCTATATTAATAGAGATTCACAACTAAATTAAAGCAGATTATAATCTTTTTAAAAAACGTAATAGTACACCTATGTATGTGTCTACAAAGTTATTCGTTTCCATAAGTTTTAATGTGATGATAATCCCTTGAACTTCTTTCAGTTAAAATATCCCGCAGATGCCAATCGCAGATCTTCTTTCACTGAAAATTGTTGTAT